GATGATAATAATAATCGTAATAATTATGATGATGATAATAATCATGATAACAATGATAATGATAATAATAATGATAATAATAATGATAATAACAATAATGATAATAATAATAATAATGATACATTATCATTATTACATAATTACAATAATGATAATGATAATAATAATAATAATAGTAGTAGTAATAGTAGAAGTAGAATTAGTGCTACTACGGATGCTACTATCTTCACTGCTGCTACCACTGCCACTACTGCCACCACTACTATTCACTTACTTAAAATAATAATATTGATTTTTATTAAAGATAAATGGTGACGATCTGATTCAATAAGTAAATCAATGGTAATAATGTTTTTATACCTATCAGATATGATATTAAATGATATTTTTTATAATTAAAAAAGTTACTGCACAAAAGAATCAACCTAGCAATCGATATTATGTGCAAACTGCTAAAAGTATCAAAAACTAAAATCAGATCTCTACGACATACACTAACAGAAGTCGAAATATTAAAAAACGTTCCAATTTGAATATTAAATATAGTAGCACTTAGAAAATTAAAGTGGAAAATAAAATTGTTCCAATTTATGATTCAGATATCACTGATCAAGATGATGATAATAATAGTAGTGATGACAATAATGATCATGAAGTAGGAACAAGTAGTAAAAAAAAAAAATAAAAAGATAATAATAATAATCATGATGTAGAAATTAGTAGTAAAAAAAAAACAAAAAGAAAAGGAAAAAAAAAAAGAAAAAATCAAAAAAAAATTAAAGAAATAATTAGATAGATTATTTTATATAGCATATATAATATATTTTATTTTATACTTTTTATAATAAATGTATTTTATTTTATTATCTTTTTTTATAATAAATTAAAATTATGATTATTTGCAAATAAAAAAAAGTGAAAATATATATATATATATAAATAAAAGGTACCAATAGATACCCGATAGAGAGAAAAAAACTACCCAATACACAGAGATATACTGTGTTCGATATATAGGGATATACTATAGCCGATTTATAAAAGATATGTACCCAATAAAAAAAATAAATAAAATCAGATGTCCGATATATGAATGATGAATTTGAATAAAATGTCAAAATATTAATGTCCGATATGAAACCGATATGGGTCTGATAAGTGTTCAAACTTCTGCATTTCGACCTCACCAATCGGGTGTCCGATATATTACATAATTGTTAATATCGGACACCTATCGTATACCTATTGGACTCCCAATAGGTATATAATAGGTGTCTGATATTTCCTATTTTGACCAATGGTAGTACTAATTTAGTTTATCTATTTTAGATGGTTAGTATAACTACTTGTATTTTATTTTATTACCATTATATTATTTTATATTAACATTTATATTATTTTATTTATTTTATTTCATATACTTATATTATTCTGGAATAGGTCTATAATCTAAAATCTATTATTTATTTATATTTATTATTATGCATTATTATTATTTATTTATATTTATTATTATACATTATTATTATTTATTTATATTTATTATTATATATTATTAATTTTGAAACAAATATATAAATATACAGTAGCAGTATGTATTTTTATTTAATAAAGGGAGTAAGAGGATTCTTACATATTAATTAATTTTTATTTATATTTAATAGATTTGTCCTATTTAGATCAAGTTCTATTTATTTATTATTATTTATTATTACATATTTTACCTATACTTGCACTTGAAATTAAAATTTATATAATTTTAAAAAACCATCTATGTGGAGGTGAAATAAACTAGAAACAAAATGTTTTTTTTTAGAAGACAAAATTATTTTACTTAAAACCTGAAATTTTTTGACCACCCAGATAAATTCTTTAATTAAAATACATTAGACTAGATACTTTTCTTATTTTATATATAAAATAGATATTTCAAAAATCTCAAAAAGTTAAAATGTTCAATTTATTTTAAAAATATATATATATAAGACATTTGTATTTTATCTAATAAAGAATAGTTTATTGTTTATTAATTTATTCACAATTAATTTACATTCACTTATTTTATACTTTGCTGCCTCTGGTTAAAGCAGAATTAATACACTTACATACCTATTTACAAAATAGGAGTTTTAGGTAAAACTCTTATAGTAAAATAATAAGTATATTTTTTATACTTATTAAATATGTATTTTCTTTAGTTACAAAAATGACAGTAAATTGGATATGGCCCAAATATAAATATTTTTATTTTACATTTATATAGTTTCAATTTTTCAGTATTACAAAATTGAACTTGTTTATTTGATTTTTAGGTTGTACATATTAAAGCTTGCAAAATAAAATACAACAATAAGTACATAATTTACAATTTAAAATGAAGTTCATTTTTTTTTGATATCACATTTGATGAATTTACAAAAGAAATATTCAGAGGTTAAAAAAAGGAATAACCATAACAATATAGAATATTTTATAATCAGTAAGTTGTTACCGAAGAAAAAAAAACTTTTTTGGGGGTTCTTATATAAGTGATTTTCGATCACAGATAAATGATAAAATGTCAATCCGTAGTAAATGTATCACGACGATAATTTAAATTCATCAACCATCATTATGGATGGAAAAACTCTATATCAAAAACTCAACGAAATTTTAGAAACTCGACAATTGTATGTTTTAATATGTATATATATATATATATATATTTATTTATTTGTTTATTTATCTAAATAAAAATTAATTTCCTAATAATAATAAATTTTTAAAAATTTTCACAGGGAAGAGATAAGTTTATTACCATATCCAAATACAAATTCCCAAGAGAAATGTTATCCGTTTATATTAATTGAATCAAATCTCGGAATCCCTTTAGAATATGTTTGTGAAATATTTAAATTTGCATATCAAATATTTATGAAAATTTATCACAACAACATTGACAACAACAACATTAATAATAATAGTAACATTGATAGTGATAATGATAATAATAATAATTTCTTGTTACAACAATCAACAAGATGCTTAATTTTATTGAATCCTGATTTTGATACAGCTATTAATGCCAGGTAAAAAATATATTTTTTTTTAATTTTAATTTTAAAATTTTTTAAATACATATAAATATTACATATAAATAAATAAATATATGTATATATTCTTTATTTTAAATACATACCTTTATTAATTAATAGAAAAAAACTAATAAATAATAATATAATTGATCCAAATGAAGAATTAAAATTATTGGATTTAATTCTCACATTTCCAAAAAATACCAAATCTTCTACTGTTTGGCATCATAGGTATTTATATTTATTTATTATATTACTATATTTATTTATTAAAATTTATTAACTCAAACATAATATAATGATAAAGTAATAATAATAATAATAATAATAACAATAACAATAATAATAATAATAATAATAATAATAATAATAATAGGAAATGGATAATCCAAAAACTTCAATTATTTCAATTTCCCAAGATTTATTATTTTAATTCTTATCTGAAACATGAAATTAATATCATAATTCGAGTTGTTAAGTTATATCCAAAAAATTATTATGCTTGGACATATAGAAATTGGATAATTAATCAATTATTACCCATCAACAACAACAACAACAATAACATTAATAATGATGATGATATTAATAATAAATTATTATTATCAATAATCGAATCATTTCTTGAATTAGAATTAAAAAATATGAAATCTTGGATTCAATTAAATATTTCTGATTATTCCGGATTTCATTTTTATCAAAGATGTTTATTAAAAAAGATTCAATTGTATAATTCTAATATAACTGATTTCTATGGAATTTCTAGAATAAATTTAAATAATAAAAAAAAGGATGATGATCATAATGATGAAGATGATGGTGATGATAATAATAATAATCTAATATTATTATGGTTCAGAGAAATACAATTCATCAAAGATTTAATAATTAGATATCCTGGACATGAGACATTATGGTATCATTTAAGATTTCTTTCATTTATTTGGAAATGGTTGGATTTGATGGGATTGATTAATATTATTACTATTACTAATATTACTAATAATATTCCCAAGTTAGAGGAATTAAAGGAATTAGATGATAAAATTTTAATAGCTTGGCCAAATGAACAAAATGAATTAAAATTTTCTAAATTTTGTATACAGCAAATTGACACGATGCATTATAATAATAATAATAATAATAATAATAATAATAATAATAGTGATAATGATGATAATAATAATAATGATAATAACAGTGATAATGGTAATGATAATAGTATTAATAACGATAATTTAATTTCACAAAAACGATATGCTAGTAATTATGCATTATGGATTTCGGAATTATCAAGTGATAGACCGAAAGGTGATATAAATTTATTACTCTCAAAAGTATGTTGAAATCATTATTATTAATTTAATAAATGATAATAACAGAACAGCAATAATAATAATAATAATAATAATCTATAACAAATAAATTATGTATTTCTGTACTTGATGTGTATGCATGTATGTATGTATATATATACACATATATATATATATATTTTTTTTTATTTCTCTTATATTTGTGCGTGTGTATATATTAATATATAAAAGTTTGTTATCTTCATATAAATATAAAATATGAAAAAAAAAACCTAATATTCGACAAAAATCAAAAAAAAAACAAATTCTCAAAAAAGTGAAAAAAAATAAAATAATAAGATAAAATAATATATAATAAAATAATAATTCCTATGAAAATATTACAAAAATATTGAATATAAAATATTTTCAAAAAAATATAATATTCAAAAATACCAAAATATTAAGAATATTTAAAATATTCATATTCTTTTACTAACCTACTCACTCGTCTTTTTTATCGCTCATCTTTTCATTCTTTAATTCTTCTCGTTCAATCTTCTTTTATTATTACTCTTCTCGATCATTAATATCTTCTTCGCTAAGATTATATGGTTTAATATCATCATCACTATTTCCCACCCTATTTTGACGATTCCTACTACGACTCTTCCTACTACTCGATCTAGATGCTAATATTTTACTAACTGCTACTCCATCATCATCATAATCGATATCATTATTATTCTCAACCATTGGTTTTGGTGTAGTTGAACGACCTCGCCTTCTTTGTGTTGCGGTAGAATTAATAATAGAAGGTGATAATGTGGGATTGGATGAAGAAGTGATGGAAGTAGTAGAATTAGTCATTCCATTATTCATATTATTCATATTATCGTTTTCAGGTGATTTGATATTATTGATAAGAGATGATGATGGTGAAGATGAAGAAGGTAAAGTAGAAGAATTAACACCACCAATATTACTATTATTATTATTATTGTTATTATTGTTATTATTATTATTACTATTATTCTGTTGACTTCTTCGAGATGGATTAAAATGATTACAATTTTTACAAAAATATTGAACATCTTCAAATTCTGTTGGATATGCTAATCCATTCCAAGTATAACAACTTTGACAAATTAATGCATATTTTTGTTCATCTTCCCCAACCAATACATCAACTAATTTATCATACCATTTCCTTTGAATTGGTGTTATCGAATTTGGACTATTTCCATAATAATAGTATGAAGAATTATTATTATTATTATCAATATTATTTTCATTACGTTCATCATTATTGTTATTATGATTATTATGATTATTATTATTATTATTGTTATTATTATCAATATTATTATTTCCATCAATTGATTTAATATTATTTTCATTATTATTATTATGATTATGATTATTATTAATATTTCCATCAATTGATTTCATATTCTTTTTTAATGATGTTGATGGCATCATTTGATTAGGTCGAATATTTCCTCCTGATCGTAATCCATTTTGTCCTTTTGATAATAATGCTATTTGTTGTTGTTCTTTATTGGAAGGATCATATCGTTCTACTAAAGTTTTTGTTGTATAATATCCCGTTTTCTTCTTTAATTCTTCTACCTTAAGTTTTTGTTTTGCTTTAAGTTGTTCAAGTTGAGTTTGTTCATTTGTCTCTTTTCTTCTAAACCATAAAGTTTCAAATTTATATCCAATCACAATAAGAAATGGTCCCGTAAATACTGGTGCCAATTTTAATAAATCCCATCCTTCTTCTTCATTTGACATATATACGAAATACCAATATCCAATTACATAAGTTGCGTACGCTATTAATGAATATACTATTAAAATAATTACGGCATTTCGTTCTCGAATTCTTATTTCTCTTAATCGAATTTCCGCTTGTCGAATATTTTCATCTAATTCTGATAAGATTTTTTCATAATTGTCTTCTGACTTTCTTCGAAAACTTGAAACTACCCCTCCCATTTCCTATAATAATTGCGAATAACCGTGAATAAACTTTGTTTGAATCACTTGTGAACCCTTTTACTTAAATCGTTTGAATCTCTCGAATAACTTCTAATAACTATAATAGTTCGTGAGGTTGAAAAAAGTTACTAATCATATAACGTATACATATACGCTGTATAAATAAATAATATAATATATAATATAAAGTGATGAGAGTTGAATGAATTTGAACAACGTATTAACCAAAGTACCAAAAGTAAAGTTAACCAATAATAATAAGAATAATATTTTATTATTATGATTATGAAGTTTTTTTTTTTTAAAACAAAGTGAAGAACTAATTATTTCAGAGTGATATATATTGCCAAATTTTTTTTTTTTTTTTAAAAAAAAATGGCGCACCCAAAAAACTTCTCGTCTTTTTTTAAAAAAAAAAGAAAATTTCTAGATTTGGTAAATTTGTCCAACAAAAAAGATATTCAACCAACCATCCTATACTTGTACATACCACATGTGACAATTATTCATTTGGACATCAATAATAAATAATTATTAAAAATTTAAAAAGCGTGATATAATGATGATGATATAATAATAAATAATGTAAATTAAATACGTAATTGTTAATACTGTTTTTAGTTACTGTTTCTTGCGGATTGTTTAATATTTGTTTTGTACGTGTTAAAACTCGAAAGGGCCGTGTTACACGTATTGCATGTATTTTTTGAAACTTAATTTTTTTTGTTTGTTCATTTCTTTCTTTTTTCAATCTTCATTTCTTTCTTTCTTTTATTCATTCATTCATTCATTCTTTTTTTTCATTCATTTTCATTTCTTTCTTCGTTTCTTGTTGCTTTTTTTTATTGTTCATTGTTTTGGGAAGGCAGAATTCGGAGGATTATATATATATTAATATAAATAAATTACTATTACTGTTACTCAATGTTACTCAAACAATTCAATGCGAATTAATGTGAACCAACGTGAATAGGAATAATTTATATGTCTCATGATCATCATATAACAAAAAAAGTACGTACAGTATATTTTTTGAACACACTAAAACGATACAGTGAACCCCCTCTATAATCACACCCTTCGGGACCATCTAAGGGTATGATTGTATCGAGGTGTTCTTATGCTAAGGTTTTATTTATATAGTTACATATATACTGTATATATAATTTTGTACAAGTGTAATTATAAAAAATCAGAAAAAAATATTTGCTGTTTAAAATATTTAATAAAAGTTTCCAACCCACTAATTTTAACTGATACTGGAAGTATTTCATCATCATCACTATCACTCTCACTTTCTTCATTTTCTTCAGATTATATCAAATTAACAATTTGTCCTTCAGTGAGATTCTCTTCAGTACAACAAAAATAATGATACCAGTAAGAGTGAAACTCTTACAGATGATATTTGTTACAATTCCAGAATCAAACTGTCAAATCAAATGTTTACAAAATTCTTGTTTGTATTTTGCTTTAAAACTATAAAATAATTCATATAAATGGTTAAGTTTAATATTGAAAAAGTTTTGAATTGTTCTTTTATTCTTGTTGAAATTTTGATTTGATTCTTGTTTATTATCAGATTCATTTTCACTAGAATTATTAGAATTTTCTTTTTGTAATTTTTTATATTAAAATAAAAACCTACATTATTAACAAGAAATATAATTTTCTATTTATTATATAAAAATAATTATTGAAATAATTAAGTCACCCAACAAATATATTTGTATACATTTATGCTCTAGAATTAGCACAATAAATAATTGGAAAAACTGATCTGTTGAGATTTTTAAAGTAATGAAGATTAAATAATTTTTTAATTATAAATAATTTAAATTTATAAGAATCTAAAGTATTTGTATAAAAAAAAATAGATACTCTACTTTTATTCTATAAAATTATAATAAAATAAATTTTTAAATTAATATTCAATTATTGATTTCTTATTAAAAATTTTTTTACCTGAATACATCTAGTTTGAAATTTGTAATTTTTTTAAGGATTTTATTTTTAATACATTTGAAGTTAGTATATGGATTTTATTGGTAACAAATAAGAGATAACAAATATAATTTTCACATATTAAAAAATTTTAATTCATGAAATTTTTAATAAAATTAATATTTGACAGATGTGACACAGGATAATAAATTTTATTTTAAATTAACTTTAATTTTTAAATTTAGTTATATAATAAAAATTTATAAAATTTAATTAATAAAATACACAGATCAAAAAATCAAATTTTGTATCTAAATTAAGTACCTATTAGATATCCAATAAGTGTGTTGGTTTTATTGAATATTGAATACTGTACCTTTCAGATATTCAATAGGTAAATAATATAAAATTTTAAATTAACTATTATTGTAATTACATATAAAATTTTTTAAATTGTCAGTATGTTACTAAATAAACTTGTAAACAATAAAAGTGCTTATTTATTGTAGAACTATTAGTTTTATATTATTAAAATTGAGAGTTTTATTAATATTTTAATTCTTAAAGCTATTCAAAATTTGATTATTTATAATTCTTTTAATTTTAAAAAATTAAATCTAATATTTTTACAGTTAATACATTTTTTTATTATTTATGAGTTTACTCAGTAGCATTTTTATAATTATATTATATAATTAATAACTTTAATATGTAACCATGATCACAATTATCTGATTTTATAAAAATATAAGATTATCAGGTATCTTAATATAATTTATTAAAATATAATTAAAAATAATTTGCAATTGTAGCTACATATAAAAGTTTTTAATTATATAATCTAATTGTAAAATGCTATTAAGCTGACTTATAGATAATAAAAATATGTATTAACTGTAAAAATATTAGATATAATTCTTTAAAATTAAGAGAATTATAAGTGACCAAATTTTGAATGGCCTTATAAATTAAAATATTAATAATTCTCTCAATTTTAATGATATAGAATTAATATTTCCATAGTATATATACATTTTTTTATTATCTACAAGTTTAATTAGTAATATATTAATAATTTAATTATAAAATTAAAAAGTTTTTGTAGTTACAATTGTAGTTAATTTAAAATTTTATATTATTTATCTATTGGATATCTGAAAGATATTTGATATTCGGTAAAACCAATATATTTATTAGATATTTGATAGTAGTAGTAGTATATTTATGAGAGAATTGGGACAGAAAACCTAACCGCAATATGTATAGCATTTTACCTTTTTCGCCACACTGGAAAGCTTTTTCTGTATATCGATTTTTATACCATTTTGCTTAATTTTTTCTCGCCACACACAAATGAGGTCTGATTTATTTTTTTGGCCACATCTTCATATTACTACTTTGCTTGCTATAAAAAAAAGGAACAGGAAGCTAAAGGACGAATGTCCTGAAGCTGACTGTGACATGCATCAACAAGCTTAAATTTAATATTATTTTCTTTACTATTCTAATTCTCTTCTAAACTTTATTTAGTCTTCTGTTTCTGTGAAGCATGAATCCCAAAGGGTGAATGCAAAACAGTTGCAGAGCGAAGCGAAGCATAGTTAGCTATTTGGTTTTCATTTTATTTTTAATCACCAAGATTTATATCAATTCAATGTTTATTTACAATTTAATAATTTCACGATTTATCTTTATTTACATTAACGAAAAAAATTACTATTCTATAACACGCTCAATTTCTTATTAACCTTTGTACAACTCTAACCAAAAGTTAGAACAACACTCTAATCAAAAAGTTAGGACATCACTCTAACCACATTTTCAATATTCTATAACAGTATATTTTAAAGTTTTATTATTATCATTGATAGCAAAAATCGTAAAAAAGTTAGGACAACACTTTAACCAATTTTATATATATATATTGATATAACGAAAAAAGTTGGGACAGCACTCTAACCAATTTTATATATAGTGATATATCGCAAAAAAGTTAGAACAACACTCTAACCAATTTTATAACTAGAATATATAACAATGGTACTAAAATTCGTGTACTAAAAATTAGGACAACACTCTAACCAATTTTATATATTAGTAGGTATTTTTATATAAGGTAAAATTTAAATTTGAACAAAAGATTTTTTATAAGTATAATATAAAACCAATATTTTTATCAATGACTCGTAAACAAAATCGAACATGTGAAAGCTGTGTGTTTACATATTCAACACCCCAAAAACTTAGAACACATTATGCTAGTACAAGAAATCCATGCCGTCCACAAGATTTACCAAATCAAGATCCAGTTCCACCACCCGATCCAGAAATAGAATATCTCGATGCATTGGGGTTATTTGATTCCTCAGAAATTGGTGAAAGCAGTCATTCAGAGGCTAACTTATCTCCAGAGGTTGAAAGAGAATACCTTGAAGCATTAGGAATATTAGAACCTATTTCGCAATTTCATCAAATGGATATTATTAGTTTAGGATGTGAATTATTAGACAATCATTACCAAGTTGAGATAGGAAAAGAAAGCATATACGCACAAGACCCAATCAATACTCTTGGAGTACTTAGAGAGCAAATAATAAATATTTTCAATGACCGATTTGATTTTACTCATGGGTTCAAAACTCGATTATGTCTCACAGGAAAAATGAGTTGATCAACAAATTATCAGCAGGGACTGTTTGAAGATGGAACATTTACAGAAAATGATAATGACGAAAAAGATTATAAA